CTTATGTCAGCCAAGAATCTGAATTGACAGGATCGAAACAAAAAGACCAAGAAACTGGTTCCAATTCAGATTGCTTCGTCATTCTATGTAACGAATAATTTACCTCTACGCTCTAATCTCCAGATTTCTCTGAAATATCTCCATCGTTACGCAATAAGAAATTTCAACTTGCCGGAGACTTGTACTAAATGTGCACGGTTCGAACCGAATGGGTTCCAGCCGGAAGCGATTCAGTTACAGCGGCACGTTAATTAAAATCGATCAAAAGCGATCAACGTATCAGCGTTTAAACTCGAGACGAACCCGGTCCGCGAGTTTCCGTCTATTTTCAGTTACGGAAATTTATTGGCTTTCCCGGCGAATGCTCGGTTTCTTGCCGGCCGGTCGCTGGATGAACATTAGGGAAGATAGATGGCTTTAAACGGCAGTACAGAAGAATTAAGTGCGCGTAGAAGCGTTACTCAGCCCCGAACGACTCGCGGAGACGTATATCGGGACGCGACCAAAACTTGGCAAGAATTGGAAACCTTGAAACGGTCGAAACTGGGTTGTACTCCTTCTTCTGGTCGGCGAAGTTCTACCGTCACGGAGCAAAGAGGAAGAATTCTGCCTGGCCTCCGTTAATATCGTTATTTGCCTCGTGCGAAATGCTTCTTGCGCTTAGGTCACCTCGAGCAATTTTCTTTCGCGATTAATCGAAGTGCTAAACATCATCGGACCACGAAACAACGTTTTCTTGTAACTGGCCTAACCTTTCTACCACAAACTGTCTCTCCTGTATTTTTGTCACTGGAGCCATTTCGAAATTCGGTATAAGCTTGTGTTTTTACTAAATTGCATTCAGCCAATGAAACTAAATGAAGCTTTCATTTGGAGATGCTATAAATTTATATATCATTCAGATTAATATAAATGTATGGATTTAAATGGAAAAATAATATCACCGAAGTCTTCGTAGTCGAATTCGCTTCATTATTTTATCGTTTAGCGTTTGCAATCTCTTTGAAAAGCGTGTACGTTACACGGTAATTATACTGTACATGATTTCCTTCGTATCTTGTTTAAATACAACGCTGTTGCAAAATATATAATTTAATAACGAAGATCAAAGTACCCTTCTCAATTAGTTAGCTGTTTTCGACGAATATACTAGCAATGGCACGAAACGTTGCCATATTCTTCGTGAAGAAGGGTTACATTTTTCTATTGTTTCCATTGTCTTCCATTTCAATCGATAAACTTATTCGTGCTACGCATAAAAGGAGTTGAAGTTTTTAGAATAACGACAGATATATATTTTTATAGAGTTATATTACAACTTGATCCTCGTTTATGCAAGTTTGAAAGTAAATCTCAAGCATGATTATTATCAGACAGAGGATTTTATGCAATTAGAACAAAGCTGCGTCGGTAAACTATAAAACGGTACAAAAATAACTATACAAAAAAAGAGTAAAAGAACTTAATAGTTTGTTATTGGGTTGGCAACTAAGTAATTGTCGATTTGTTTAATGAAATAAAAAATTTTTTTTACTTGAAACGAAGTTTAATCTGTAATGTATTTTCCATTTTGTTCGATGACCTTTTGCCATCTCTCCGACAACTTGAAAATTCCACGCTCGTAGAAAGTCTGATCCTTTTCGGCCAAAAACTGAGTTAAGTGAGATTTTACAGCGTCATCGGCATTAAAAGTTTTACCACGAAGGGAGTTGTCCAGGGATCGAAATAAGTGGTAACCCGATGGCGCGAGATCAGGGCTATGTGGTGGGTGTAACATCAATTCCCAACCAATATCCATCAATTTTTGCCGAGTGGACAAAGACGTGTGCGGCCTAGCATTGTCCTGCTGGAAAATGACACCTTTACGATTGACCAATT